CGGGGTTGGGAACAAAGGGGAAATGGAAGGGGAGTGGATGGGGTGAGCCCCTGCCTTGTCCAGCAGCCAGGGTCCTTCCAAGGGCTTTGGAAGCTCTGCCCAGGGCCGTAGCCCTGTCCCTGAGGGTTACCGGGGGAGGCTGCGCGTCCTTATTTACTGGGCTCGTTTTCTTCCCTGTCCTCCACGCTGGCATTAACGACTGGGCAGGACACGCTGACGGCCTCAGAGCACCCACACTGCTCGCTGGGCTCGTGCAGCTCTGGCTCACACAACTGCAGTTTAAACGTATCTACCAGGAGTGCCTCTTTTCTGCCAGCAGCAGCGCCACAATGTTCTGTCCAGGCCTGCATGGCAAGGCATAACCTGGGGACGGATTTTCCTGCTAGTCTGAACTGGGAGGACTTTTAGAGAACTCAGTCTTTCTGAGAACCGCAGATGAACGCTGATTTTGCTGTACAGATTCTAACCTAGCACTGAATTTCCTTGGAAGGAAACTTCCTTTGTAGACCGCTCTGATCCACAAGCAAGCATGGTAACCACAACCAAATTAATAGCAAATCTCTCGTAAAACCACGAAAGGGAGAAAAAGGAAGAGCTTATGGCATGGAGTGGGAGTTTGGAGCCATCAGAGGGGTGCAGCTACAGGTCACGGTCGACACCTCCAGCGCATCGCTCTGGAGACACCTCCACGGTACCCAACGCCCAAGCAGCACCGCTATGGGCACGGGGGATGTGTGACACGGAGCAGGGGCAGAAACACTCAGATCTCTTCCTCCACGAAGCAAAGGCAGAGCATTTGAGCAGAGCATGGCTGGATTTCTCCAGAGCAGGGCGAGGAGCTGCCCGCCGTTGGTGCCGGCGCGGCTCTGAAGCGCACCGCGGTGGCTGAGCCCTTACCTGCTCCAGCTCCTGCTCCGCATACTTCTGCCGGCTCAGCTCGTTCTCGGTGCCCTCGCGCAGCTCGCGCAGCCGGTGCGCCTCCTGCTTGGCGATGCTGATCTCGTCCTGCAGCTTCTTCTCCAGGTGCACCTTCTCCACCTCCACGGAGCGATGCTCCTCCTGCGCCTTCTGCAGCCTGCAACACAAGAGAGCGGGCGCCCGGTGCTGCCATCCAGACCCACCCTGTGCCGGTGTCAACAGAGATCTGTGCTGGCAAAGGCACGGACAAAGTTCGCAGCGCCCGGGAGGAAATTAACCTGTCAAGAGTCTCAACTTTACCTCATTTATTAAACGCTCAGCATGTACTTTTTTGATTTTCCAAAGCATTTAGTAAGCCCTGAAGTAATTTGAATTCTCAGTGATTTTACAAAAATTAAGAGCTTTGCCTTGACTAAAACAAAGAGGAGAGGAAGATGTGCCTGAGCAGAGGGGATGTCTCCGTGTTCCACTTCAAGAGCCTTCACATTCAGACATGTCCTAACCTTGCCTGGACGTTACTATTTTTCCTCACGACAGAAGTAGATCAGTAGAATTTTATATGGGAAAATAAAAGTAATGACAGGTTACGTGACTTGTGTCAGTTCAGGGAGGTTCAACCGTTCGGGCTGGGAAGCCCTTGGAAGGACGCAGCCCTTGGCCATCGTCAGATGTTTTGGGGTCTCTACGGTGTTTGCATTTCCAGTGCAAACCCTCACAGACCTTGAAACCAAATCAACACCAAGAATGAACCCAGCCCACGCGGGACCGCGCTGTCCCAACAAGGGGGGGCAAAGTCCCGGTTGCTGCCACCCAAACCACCTCTACGCCTGTCCAAGGTACAGCCCCAGCGCTGTGTGCTTCAGAGACACAGCGACTGCCGAGGAAACGGGGAAATCTTCAGTTGAAATGAGATCACAGAATCACTGAGGTTGGAAGAGACCTCTCAGATCATCAGGTCCAGCCGCCAACCCACCGCCACCACGGCCACCACACCACGACCCCAGGTGCCACGCGTGATGAAGACGTTCACTTCATGATGACGGCTCTGAAAAGCCGCGTTGTCCTGCCATGAAAGAAATGAGAGCACTGCAGGGCTTCTTCCTCTGCGAGACCCAGCCAATGATCCAGACGAAATACGGTATTTTGTTTAAAATTATGGCAACGATTCAACCTTGAACCAAACCTCTGAGGAACGCGGTACATCCATCGTTGGGTAACTCCAAATCCAGGCGTGATGAGTTTCCAGGAATGCACTTCAGCTCCTGGACTGAACACAGGGACTCGCGGTGGCTCCGAACCCGGCTGCATCGATCGAACAGCGCCGCCTTCTAAACATGAACTTCTCCTTCAAAAGCCTCAGTCACCACCGTTTGAGATAAACCAATTAAAGCTGCACAAACCCAGACTATGTGAGCAGAGGCAGAGGCAACGCTGTTTTAACCCAGACCAAACGGAGGAAACTGCTGTTCCCACCCAAACCAAGCCCTTCTCCCTGCGCACACGTCCTGCCCTGCTTGGGCAGCTTCTACGGATCGAGGGGATCCTGGATAAAGCGCTCACCTACAGCAAAGCTACGTCTGTGAGGTTAGCAAGGCGTTCAGATTAGGTATAATCCAATATATATATGGCAGGGGTTGGACTGGATGAGCTTTAAGGTCCAACCCAAACCCCTCTGATCCTATGATCAGCTAAACCAGCACAACCAGTGGCAGCTTGGAGCTGGTAGATTTCAGTGACCAAGTAAAATAATCAGTACGGTGAAAAGAGAAACAAAACCAACTCATCCTAAACCCCCAAATGGACAAATCGTCACCAGGAAAACGTATTCCAGTGACATAAAACCTTCTCCAATGTCCAAACTGGAGAGCAAACCAGCAGAGCGATGTGTGAGGAGCCAGACGAGGGCACAGCGAGGTCGGCTCCAGGCAGGCTGTACCTGTCCCAAATGACAAATCCTGGGCTCCCCAAGCGGCTCCCGCTCATCCCGGACCAGGAAAGGGAAAAACTGATCCTCTGTCACTACAGCACATGCAGAGGCGCCCATCTTCCGGGTTTTTGGGAGGAGGAGATGGAGCATGGACCGGCGCAGACTCGCAGCAGGGACCCGTTGCTGCTTTTTGGGTCGAGAGCGAAGCCAAGGACTCCTCTGCTCGGGCTGCTCCTCAGCACGCAGATGGACACGGGCCGGGCTCCCATCACCCGTGGTGTTGGCTCTCTTCTTGGGAAAGGCCCATTTGCAATTTACAGCTCTGCTGAGAAACCCCAGTGTTTTCCTTCCCAACGCGAAGAGACTCTTGCCAAGACATTCCAAGTTTTTAGACAAACCCACGCCCTCTGCCCCGCGCACCAGCGCTAAAGCTCTTCCATGCTAGGGCCGGAAGACTCCCAACCCACCAGAGTATCTCTGCTAAAGGGGAAATTCCCCTGTGCAGTGACACAGAACAGGAATTTCACCCACAAGACAACTCTCAAAGGCACTCTAACATCCAATTTTCCCTTGCTGCCATTTTCTCCTGACAGCAGATCCTGTATTTTTATTACAATGGTTGTGGGCAAAACCAGGTTGTGTGTGCGCTCCCATTCAAACCCAGCCGACTCGGCCACACTGGTTTCACAAACAAGCGCCTTCAGAGCCGCACTCGTAAGGAGGGCAAGAAACTGAGACACAAGTGGGGGCTTCACAATTCAGGAGCAGATCTTCAACACAATCAGCAGATCTTCAGTACACATCTCCATCATCAGTAGGATGTGCTAAGATGTGGCCTTTTTTATCTTGAGAGGTCATTTAATTGACTGGAAAGCATCCTTGTTGAAGGATGTTCTCAAAAGGTACTGAAGATGAACAAAAGGTGGGGCTTTGTATCAAATCTTCCCAACTCTTTAAGAGTTGTTCATCAAGTAACAATGCTGGGAGGCACCGCGTCCCTTCTGGAGGTCCGTTCAGCATTGCACCTCAATGAGCCAGGACGGGAGGGAACCTCAGGCGCTAGAAAAGAAGTTTCTGAGCAGAACGTCAGAACAAGTCCAGGGAATGCGCTGCTGGCAGCTTTGCCTCTTGTACAGTGGCCAGGAACCACAGCTGAACATCGCTGGGGCTCAAGGATGAAGAAACAAAGGCATATTCCTCCCCCAGAGGAGAATTAGACCAGTCCTCTGCCCCCCAAGGGCCACCCCAACCTCCTGAGCTGCAGCTCCGTGCCCTCTGCAGAGGACAACCCGCACACCCTGCACGAACACCGCAAGCTGCTTGGGGTTAAGACTCGAGCTATGCTTAGCAGACGTGGTTTTGGGTTTCTTCCTGCCCGGCTTTAGAGCATTAGCTGAACTTCCTGGGCACATCTCCTTGTTTACGTGGCTCTGCCCTCGGCAGCAGGTCCCAAGGTCGTTCCCCACACGGCACATTTGGTGTGACCTGCACCCAGCAGAGACCTCCCGCCCTGGATGCGGCTCTGCTGCTGCAGGAGATGGAGACTGGGAAGGAATTGTGTTCGTTGGGGTATTTCCAACCTGGAGTGTAAAATTACACTGGGAAAGCAGCTGTGGACCAGAGCGGCTCCGTGGAAGGCAGAGGGGAAACGTGGGTGCCCCCTCCCTGGGCTGGTGGAGGTGTCCCTGCCCATGGGGGTTGGGCTGGGGGGTTTGGGGTCCCTTCAACCCCAACCCTGCTGTGGTCCTGTGATCCCATGAAATCTAAATGAGGAATAACCTCGCAGGAAAGATCGACAGCCAAACGCTCCAGCCGGGCGGACGCACAGAACCTACCGTTCTTGAAGGTCATGGAGCGACTGCTCAGCTCTGTGGAGCCCCTCGAGGTCTTTCATCATCTTCTTCATGTGCTCCTTTGAGTAGCGATTCTGGATGTAGGCGAACCAGCAGCCCCCCACGCCGATGACGATGGACACCACCAGCATGAAGTCCTTCAGGTGGTTGTGGCGAGTCACTGGAAGAGAACAGAGACACCACTGAATCCAGGAGGAAACTACGGTTAACTGCGCAACGCCGCACCCGCACCGGGGCTTCAGACCACGTCAGAAGGATCAGCGGCCCGGGTTTCCCAACGGGAGAAGATGAGCTACGCTGATATTTAGGGAGGGGAGAGAAGCTCGACAACATTTATTCAATTTAAATTGGGAAGCCAAAAGAAAAAGAAGGTCTGGAAGGAAGGAAGGCGAAACCCCAAATCTTGTAGATGTGCCTGGCAATCCAGGGTACAGGGACACCCGGAACAGCTGTGCTCTTTTGGGCCAACACAACCAACGTGGAACGTGAAGATGTCACAAGAAAACAGCTTCATTGGAAAAAAGCTCACAGAGACGGGGCAGATCGAGCGTGAAACTTTCAAGCTGCAAACCTTTCCCTCAGCACCACAGCTCGATGTGGAAACGCGCTTTCTCCAATGGTGAGCAAAACACAGTTGCTTAAAAAAACAAGTCCGGATGCACGTGAGGGAACAAAAATAAGTGAGTGGGGGTTTAAGCGTGAAACAAAACCCAAAGACACGCGACAGGCGGAATTTTTCACTGTTTGCTATTTAGCAAAACCTCAAACAAGAGTGTGCTGAGGAAGCCGGAGATGTGCAATAGCAGCTCGGTCAAGACACCGCAGCGCACGCTCAGTGTCCGCCGGTTTGGAACCGCAGGAGGGGAGATTCACACCGGGTACGGGGAAGAAATCGCTCACGATGAGCGCTGAGACACTGCACGGGCTGCCCAGAGAGGAACGCGGCGGCTGCGGTGCTCGGTGCAAGGAGTTTCCCCAAAAAGCCTTTAAAGACTTTAAAAACTTGTTGACTATAGCAGATTTAGAGTGGATCTGCACCAACAACATCTTGACATCACCTGAATAATATTACTGCCCCCCCAGCTACATAACGTGGATCAGAGAGCACCCCCAGGGCCTCACATTCATCTTTGCTACTGTCAAATATAATTGGCAAACATTATTTGTTGGGGGAAAAAAAATCCTTTCATCAAAATGACAGGCACGTAGCAAATGCAGGGCTTTGTCTCCTCTTCCTTTGAATCTGGGCGAGTGTTTGAAGGCTTGGCTGATACATTAAGATCTGTGCTTTATAACGCTTGGGTCTAAGCACCAGCTCTGCACAACGCGCTCCTCCACCACCAACCGGCCTTTTCCATCCGAAATCTGTGCTCCTCACACCACAGCCACGTTCAGGCTCAAACACCACGGCTGAAGCGGGGCATCCTCAGCTGCGGTCAAACCCCCACAGGCAGCAAAGAGAGAATGAAGGGCACGAGGGCGCCGCGCGTCCTTCGCGCGGGGAGGATGGAGGCACGACCGCTGCTCCCCGACAACCCACGAACTGGGCTCCGCACCCCGCTGCACCCAGCGCCCGCGTCCTCGCGGTTCTGCGAGGAATCCTGAGACGGGAAACGCGAAGGGAGCGCAGAGCAGCGCGAGGACCCCATCTCTGCCCCAGGGAACCCCAGAACCAGGTAGAGCGCAAGAGGAATGGAGCCTTCCCCTGGTGAGGGCTAAGGGCGGTTCTCAGGGTGCCGAGCGGTAACTGGGGTCAGGTCTTGTCAAAACCTCTACGGAGAAGTGAAGAAAAAATCACTTCCATCATGTGGAGGGACGGGGACTTTCCCAGCCGAGGCAGGACCGATATCCGATGCACCCCCGTCTCTTGCTGCCCCAGTGGCACAGCTCTGGGGACACCGGGCACTTGCTTTGGCTCATCCCCATGAATCTCCGCTTCGATCGAGGTGCGAGACGCGGACACTGAAGGGTATTGCTGCTGTGCAAACCATGACAAATCGAAGAGGAAACAGCGGTAACGGGGGACGCTGACGTGTTTTAATTGGGAGAATTCAATACGATCCAGTGTTTGGGGGAAGATGGGCTGGAAAGATGTTTCTACATCCTCACACATCTCCAGTGAATGAGGTACCTGGGGTTTCTTGGCAAAGGGAGAACGAGAGCGGGGTCAGTAAGAATACTTGCATCAAGCTGGAAGGAAGT